TCCCCCAGCACCACATGCCAGCCAGCCCCGCCCCCTGGTGGGCTGAGCTGGCCACACACACACAAAATAAATAAATAAATATTTAAAAAAAAAAAAAAGCCCCATGACTATAGTCTTAGGTAATGGTTTTTGAACAGTTAACTGAGCTGGATCCAAATAAAGGTTAAACTTCTATATTGGAGCTGAGAACAGTACAGGATGTACTTGAGAGATAAAGAATGAAGAAAAATCTAATTCCCCCCCCCTTTTTTTTTTGCAGAACCAGGGATTAAACTCAGACCCTTGCGCTTGCCAGGGAAGCACTTATTCCACTGAGCCATCTCCCCAGCTCCTTAATTCCCCGTTCTTATGATCAGTTTTTGGTAAGGTAGATTGTAGGTAGCAGAAAGATTCCCAAAAGATCCATCCCTCCCTTCATCCTCTGTAATTGGTCCCTGACCCTGAAGTAGTAGTCTCCTTGGGTAAACCTATTGTCAGATTCCAAATCTGAGCTATCTTTGCCTTTCTCAATTTTTCTCTTCCAGCAAGATCTCTTGTTTTGATTCAGAGTGCATGGGTTCTAAAGCCAAGGTTTAGAATTACACAAGGACCAAACATGTAAATGAATAGAATTTCCTTTTTTTTTTTTTAATTTTATTTATTTATGGAGGGGGGCAGCTCAGCCCACCAGGGGGCGGGGCTGGCTGGCATGTGGTGCTGGGGGATTGAACCGCGGTCCCTGTGCTTTGCTAAGCTTGTTCTAAGTAGGGTGCTTTAGACCACTGAGCCATCTCACCAGCCCCTAGAATTTCCTTGTTGATAAGCATGTTTCACAGCCTTCATAACCAGTCTCCATTGTTTTAAATTTAAAACATGTCCCTTCATTTCAAGCCATTAACAATGTTTTCATATCAAAGTAAACAATTCTGTAAAAGATTGTGGATTCACTTTTACCCCCAAGCTGTTCAACGAAGTTTTTAAAACCTGAATATATTCTTGTTGTTGAGATAGTGCATTTCCCATTGTAACCCTGATGTAAAAATCCTGGAGAACAGGCTTACTTTACTTGTTTGACTCTTCTCCAGTCTGCTAAGCAGATCCCTTCCTGATGTCTTGACTACTTTTGTTTCCAGGTCCCTGTTCAGTGTGCCAGTATTTTGGTGTCTGTGAGGTAACAGGTCCCAAAAATGGGTTGTGTATGGCAGATGAAAAGAAAATGAGAGAGACAAAAGTTATGAGATGGCGGGTGTCTCAGATATTCTCTCGTTGCTGAGACAAATACCTGACACTCAAAATGAAGGAAGGCAAGGTTTATCTTGGTCATAGTTACTGGAGGTTTTAGTCCATACTCAGCTGGCTCCAAGGCAGAGTGGCACATGGCAGAGAGTAACCTTTCATGGTGGTGGCAAAGAGCACAGAGCCAAAAGGAGTAGCAGCCATCCAGCAGCTAGCTGGCCTCTCATTCCTCCTCACATTGTAATGCAGATTACCTGCCCCAGGGCAAGTGCAGCATCCACCCCCACAATAATTAATCACAAACTCAGAAGCTGCCCCATGACTTCATGAGGCTTTGGGGGGAACACCTATACACAAACCATAAGGGGGAGGGGGGAGAAAGGGGTGCCTAGGACTGAAGCCTCGATTGCAGTATTCTCCAGCCTTTTATTAAGATTCTCTAACATAAAACAGGAATAGGAAAAATGGGAGGAATGACTAAGAAGATTAATGAGGACATTAGTTTATCCCAGAAACTACTTTGGGCTTCCTAGCCATCATGTTACCATTCCTTCAGACATCTTACCAAAGCCTCTCCTGCTGTGCCAGCAGCGTTCCACTGGAACTAAGGTGGTCCTGTTTTCATTTCCTTTTGCACTAAGCTTTTGCCAGACTTCCTCTAGGACAATCATATTGATATAGGGAAAATGAAACTCCCAACCTGAAAAGTACCTGGGACAAGTTCGTGTTCTCTAAAATTGAAGAATGAATTTTATGAACAAACTGAGGTTAAGAGCAGAATACTTATTGGGAGAAAGAAAGCTTCTGTCTGAGAAAGGAATAGAAGGGTGGCCTGACTAGGTTGTACCTGGGAAGCTGTCTCTTCCAGGAACTTTTATAGAGTTAAACCATGTGGTGAAGCAAGTTTTAGGTGGAAACCTTGGGAATTTGCTTAGGTGGATATGAGGTCAGACAAAACTATGGTCAACCAACGAGATTACAAGCACCAATGCTCAGGTAAAATTGTTTAAATCCAGAACTGAATGGAGAAATGAATCACATAGCAAGCAGGCACATATGCAGAACAGTTTATCTGGTAGTTTATCCAGTAGCAGTTGGATTAGTGACTCTTCCTGGCTTCCTCAAGGTAATGATCAATCCTGGATGCTTATCTTTAGGGAGGTAAACATTTGTTCCATCTTTGATCCTTAGGTCTGGCCCACAGCAGGAGCATCCATCTCTCTCACAGTTGCAATAAATCTTGTCTTCCGATTTGTCTCCTTCAGAGCCTGGCCGTGTCTGACTGCCTGTAATATTTTTATCTAATTTAGCTGCCTACAACAATGGCCTGGTCAGGCTCAGAGTCCCATATAAGTTATACATTATAAGGTAAACTATTGAATGTCCTTGTCCACATTTTAGATAGATGTAATAGTTACATTCATCATAGTGACATAGGGGAAAGAAACTCCTAACCTGAAAGATACCTAAGATGAGTTTGTTTTTTCTAGAACTGAAGAATGAATTTTTGGAATAGCAAAGGTTAAGAGCAGAATGTATTTATTAGGGGAAAGAAAGCTTCTGTCTGAGAGAGGGGCAGAAGGGGATCTAAGTGGGTTGCCAAGAAACCTGCCTTATTTAGGGATTTTATAGACCAAATCCAGGACACAAGGCCAGCCCAAAGTGGGAAACATAGAAACTCACTAGATGGGCATAAGGTGGGACAAAACTATGGTCAGACAATAAGATTGCAAGCACAATTGCTCAGGTAAAATTGGTTGAATCAGGATCAAATGAGGAAGTGAGTCCATAGCAAGTGGGCATGGACACTGAGCAGGGGCTTTTCCTGTAGGGGGTTGGGTCAGTGACAACTGGCTTTTCAAGGTGATTGCTACCTATTTAGAATATGAGTCTCTGATGTCCATCCCTAGGGAGGTACGTGGCAGCATTTGCTCAGTCTTTTGTGTTGAGGTCTGGCCCACAACAGGAGTGCCCATCTCTCCCACAGTTGCAAGGTATCCTGTCTTGATACTATCTCCTTGAGGACCTACCACTGTCTGCCTGCCTGTACTATTTCTTTCTAACTCAGCTGCCTACAACAATAGGGAATTTAAACCTGACATAATATAACTTGACTCTTTTTCTCCTCCCATTCCCTTAACCTCCCTTCAACCCCTCTTCACTTTCCTATTCAAAACACTTTGTTTCCGTTCTTTTCTTTTTCTAAGCATTTTTTTTTTCTTTTCCCATCCTCTTTTTCCCTTTTCCCCCACTTAGTTCACTTTTCCACTTGGATATTTTGATTCTGTTTCACAATATCTGTTATATATCTTGGTCCTTATACTTTCAGTGAGAATGTGGCCTTTGCACATACGTGTCAGATTATTTCACTTAACAGAAGGGTCTGTTAAAGTGCATTCATTACCTAGAAGTATCTGAAGCTTCTTCTTTATGGCAGAGTGGTACTCCATTTCTTTTTATCCATTCATCAGTTAATGGAACACCATAGTTTCTCAGTGAACCCCAAAATTAGATTAACCTGTGTTCAACAGTGATGTCTAAACCAGTGATGCCGAACATTTTGGAGCTTTCAGTGACAACAGCCTACTGTATGTTCACCACCCTGCTCTAAACTTTTTTTTTTTGGGTGGAACTGGTGATTGAACTCAGGCCCTTGCACTTGCCAGGCAAGTGCTTATTCTACTGAGCCATCTCCCTGGCCCCTAAATATGCACTTTGTTCTCATAGTACTTTCTTTCTTTCTTTCTTTCTTTCTTTCTTTCTTTCTTTATTTATTTATTTATTTATTTATTTTGGCAGAACCAGAGGTTGAACTCAGAGCCTTGTGCTTGCCAGGGAAGCACTTATTCCACTGGACCATCTCCCCAGCCCCTACCCTGCTCTAAACTTTCTGAGCCGTGATTGTGCAGGCCCCTGGGGACAGGTGGCTTTGCTAAGTCTGTTTCCTTGCTAGGAGTTAAGAGCACAATTAAGGCTCCTTTGTCTCACAATTTCCACAGCCATTTCCTGAATTATTTAGGTTATTTTCGGATGTGAGCCAGCTACCTTTACAGGAAGGTTGGCAGTGTGGAACTGCATGCCCATTTGGCTGCTGAACACAGGAACATTGCCCTTCTTCCCCTCTTTATCCTTCAGATGTCACATGCGGCCACCAGTGCTTTGTGCCGCTCCATAAAGCTGCAGTGTGAGCTGTACCCCTCGCGGCAGATTGCCATCTGCCTGGACCCCTACTGTGGCCTTGGCTTTGCCCTGTGGTGTCTGTGCAGGTGAGTGGTTTGCAGCCACTCCTGTGGCTCTTCAGAACTTTCACCTTCTTTTTTTTTTTTT